CTGAAACAGGCCCGGTTACCCCATCGCCGCTTGAGCAACCAGATTGTGAGAAACCGCCTCAAACCTGCTGGATTAAGAGGAAGAAGGGTCATCAGGCGTCTACAGCTCACAAATCAGCACAAGCGTCAGCGTGGGTTATGGTGTGAGCACAGGCAGGGGTACTGGAGCGACGAAAGTCGTTTCCTCCTACATGCTGTTGATGGGAGAGTCCGCGTATGGAGGACTAGGAAAACACGTCTTGCCCCCAGGAACATTTTGCCAAGAGTACTATTTGGCGGGGGATCCGTAATGGTTTGGGGAGGCTTCTCCTACGACTGTAGACTGGATTTGGTGACTATACAAGGTTCACTCACAGGCGCTCGTTACATTCAGGAGGTTCTGGGTCCTGCAATTACTTATCATTTCGATGACCACAGACTTGCCATAAGACTCATGTTCATGGACGACAATGCATGACCAACATCTGGCAAATAAGGCTGTGACACGAATTCCATGGCCAGCATGATTTGAACCCAATCGAACATGTTTGGAATGGGACATCATGGGCCGTCGGGTACAAAGAAGGAATCCTCCTCCACAAAACTTGAGGGTACTGGAGGCAGCTGTTCACGAGGAGTGGCAGCGGATAACGATGGAACAATTAAGGAACCTGGTTAGGGGTATGCCAAGAAGAGTGGCTGCAGTTATTCAGGCACGTGGTAACAGCACACATACTGATATTTTGTGAATCCTGGGACACTGGTCCACTTTTTTTAAGCTGCTTTTACCGGGTGGCACACAGCAAGACCCTGAACTGACGATACTTAAACACCCATATCTTTTGGATGAAATTCCATTTCAATTACACTCTGTGTTTTCATGCACTGTTAGTGTTCATACCGTTACAAAACTTCACTTCCAAATGACCAAATGATTAATTAAATTAATTAAATTAAAATTTGTTTTGCTTATCTTCTTTTTCTCAGTTCCATACCATACTTCCATGAGGTTCACCCCTCTGTGAAATATCGGGGGGGGGGGGGTGCTTCATTTTTTTTTTTTTATTTTTTGCTGTGTATATTATGAATGTATGAATGGGTTGATTATTGGGTTTTAATACCGTGTATATCTATATCTCAACAGCCGATACATCGAATATAATATAGTCAAATAGTTTTGAATGTAACATTATTTATTTTCCCTCAAAACCACAAGCGAAAATCTTGACTACAGCGGTATTGACTGATGTCTGAGGAAGGAGCTTGCCCATCCCATGTCCAAACGGAGCAGCATAACACCACACCTACAGATCCAAATTGCTTAATTTCATTATTGAGATTCGTTACGAAATGAAGATAAGCAGAATAAACCCAAGGCAAAGATATTAGATTATAATATATGGACCTTTGATATTGTAATAAATGATAATTTTATGTTAATGGACTCTAAGCCAGACGGGAAGGTTAATTGAAAGGTCAGATTTCTACTGGCAATAGCACACTAGATTAGTATTGCCAATATTCCATTCTCGTTGCTTCTATTTTAGACCATCTGATATTCTTTATTTGGTATTATATAGACATACCTTTCTGTGGTCACATACTTGCCTCGGGTGTAGCCTTTTACATAAGTAGCTTGATAACATGTAACAGTGCATACATAAGTTCGTCTTCGCTGTATGATCGGCAAGGAATCCATTCTATATATTTAATAAGAATAAAGCTGGATATAGACTGTTTTGCCCTTCCGCAATGAAGACAGCTACCAAGTATTTTGGTCCTCCAGTTCTTTCGCCACACTCTTTAATTTAAAATACAATAAATTTATTTCTAGTGAATGGGTTTTAATTATGAATACCAAGTTCGAACTTTAAAGCCACCCACACGTTTGGTCTACTGAAATTTCTTAGACTATTTCTTTGAAACACAATAACTTTAGTTCTAGTGAATGTATAAAAAGTGAAATAGATACGCTTCTAGGTTCCAACTCCAAAGCCACCCACGCCTTAGAACTACTGCAATGACAGCAATGGAATTCTTTGCATATTTAATTACCGGGTAACCTAATTCCATTTCATTGGTATCTGGCCAATTAAGAGGCTACGATAAACAATTTTACTTTCAAAAAATGTTTTAAGCTTAACTGTAATAAATAGCGTGTGTAAGTGTCCGAGAGGCACTAACATTACTTGGGGCGGACATCGGTGTTCAAGATTTCAAAACATAATTCAAATAAATTATGCAAAATTTATAGATTTCAGTGGTATCCTTTAAGATCATTATATTTGAAAGTAGTTTCTCAATCCTTCAGATCAAACAATTAGACATAGATTTTTTTTTTTATTTACATTTTTATACGCCCACATTGAAATGTGGTCGTATATTGTCGTCGCCCCCGTCCGTCCGTCCGTCCGTCCGTCCACAATTGCTTGTGGACGCTCTAGAGGCTAAAGTTAGTATCCGATTGACTTTAAATTTATACACAGTGTTTAAGGTCATGAGACGAAGAGGCCTATTGATTTTCAGCGATTTCCGATAATTACTGCCAGAGTTATGGCCCTTGAGTTCTTCAAAAAATCTTGTGGATGCTTTAGAGGTCAAAGTTAATATCCGATTGACTTCAAATTTATACACCGATTTCCGATAATTACTGCCAGAGTTATGGGCCTTGATCACCTCAAAAAATCTTGTGGACGCTCTAGAGGTCAAAGTTAATATCCGATTGACTTTAAATTTATACACAGTGTTTAAGGCCATAAGATGAAGAATCCTATTGATTTTCAGTGATTTCCAATAAATATTGCCAGAGTTATGGCCCTTGATCACTTTGAATAATCTTGTGGACGCTCTAGAGGCTAAAGTTAATATCCGATTGACTTTAAATTTATGCACGGTGTTTAAGGTCATGAGACAAAGAAGCCTATTGATTTTCAGCGATTTCCGATAATAACTGCCAGAGTTATGGCCCTTGATCACTTTGAAAAATCTTGTGGACGCTGTTGAGGCTAAAATTATTATCCGATTGACTTTAAATTTATACACAGTGTTTGAGGTCTTGAGATGAAGAATAATATTGATTTTCAACGATTTCGGATAATTACTGCCAGAGTTATGGCCCTTGATCACTTTGAAAAATCTTGTGACGCTCTAGAGGCTAAAGTTATCATCCGATTGACTTCAGATTGGTACACAGAGTTTAAGGTCTTGAGACGAACAAGTATATTGATTTTCAATGAATCTTTATGACTTGAACAGCTAAATCCATGATGTTAAAAGTTTTGTATACTAAACATTAGCATGGGACAGAACTTTATAAAAAACAAACAAATTCTAATGGTTTTCTGATAATTACTTAATGAGTTGTTACTCTTAATCAGATTTTAATGTATTATAAACGTTTCATTACCAAAAAAAGTAAAAATATGCGAAAACTCTTGTTGACTGCCCGGACGATATAGCTACTGTGAGCCTATGTTTCGTTGCCTGGCAACCTATCTTTAAATTCATTTGTAGCAATGAGTACACTGTTAATTCTGCAAGTTTTCTCTTAAGTCAGTTATATTTTTAACTCGTTATATATGAAAGCTGTTGTATTCTTTGAACCCGTAAAAAGCACATAAACTATATTTTGCAATGTTCTGAGTATTTTCTTGATAGCTATGTATTATGTTACACAAACAAATTGGTTTATATAACTGTTACATACTGCCATGTGAAGAGACAATAACATGGCGCTTTTAAGGCCTACGTACACCAACCAAGGTTTATTAATAAAATATAAACCCGACAAATTGTCCACGCCGTTTCTCGAGTTATTGGCAGACTTTGTTCCAAACTAAAATTGGCCCTTATATTCTTTTTGTAACAGATTGTGACTCAGGTTAGAAGAAATAAACATTATGTCAGATTATAATTCTTTAATATAGCATATTATTTGTTATAGAATAGCTTCATATCTCATCAAATCGAAAGGCGAATATTAGAATTTGAATGACTTGAAATTTAGTAACAGTGTTTATGTTCCTGGGATGAAGAATTCTATTGAATACACGTGAATACACGTACATACATTGTTATGTCAGCGCAATGAAGAAGCCATCAAATTATTTCTGACAGTTCTTCATGGATTGTTGCCCTTGATCAATGTTAATGTCTTATAAATGTTTCTGTTACCTACAAAATAATCGATATGCGACAGTCGTTATTTGAGTTTTCGGACGACTTGGCTGTTTCGTTGCTTGTCAACATATCAGCGGGGGAGGGGCAAAGGTTTCGTTGCTTATCACCATGTTTCGCAACGAATGTAAGATGCTCCTTTTTTAAGTTGTTTTCATTTTCTTCTATAGATTCTAAAACATGTCTGTCGGTCACTTATCTTCTAATTAAGCTAGAATGTCCACTCTTATGAGGCGGGGAATGGTTAACGCATGCGTGTTGCATCATAAGGTCTGTCATTGAGTCAAGTAGTGTGGTTTCGATTCACGCTTGTACGTGACAAGGAGCAGGGTCGCCTGTCCAACCTCGTGGGTTTTCTACGGGCCCTCCGGTTTGCCCCCCCCCCCCTGCTAAAGACCCCAACGCGCAAGCGTGTCGAGTGGGCGTTAAACTCCATTTCTATTTCTTTCTCTTTCCAATCTTATGTGTATAGTTCCACTACATCAATACATTGACTAAGTTGGATGACGAGTATATTCTGTTTAGGCTTAGTACACAATACATCTCCTTTTAAGTGAAGTAGAATGTTCAAAGTAGATGTAGATGTGCCTTAGGTGAATATCTTGACTGAGTTTGAAAATTCCGAGGAACTTTCTCGGCCAACACTGCAATGGAATCCCCGGGTTCCACTGTACCATCGACATATTCAGTGTGGCACCATGAGACAAATTTGTTTTGTTATTATCTTGCCTACGGAACAGCAAAGCAGAAACTAGTTCCATAGACTTATACTGTATTTATAGGATTTTTTTAATTAAAATTTTTCAAATGAAAACTTAATATCACCGTTTTTTTATTTCATTTCAGCTGTTGGAACATTAATACCCATGCTGGATATATCTGGATAATGCACGGTCCTTTGATGGCTACAGTTGTGGTAAGATATTATTTTTAAGAATTTATTTGTAATATTACCGCGCTATTTTGTTACGAGAATAGACCGAGCATTAGCCACCAACAATGCAATTTGGTGACTTCATTTAGGTTTGAAGTCTGTCTAGTTTCAATAGTTAACAAAAACAGAATATGAATAATATTAATGATGATAAAAATGTTATTATTGATATCTTAGAAAGGTTCCAGTAGCTTTATATTGAACAAAAGGCTTGCATGTGTACACCCTCGACAACTAACAAAAGATTTATGCCTTATTTATAAAGTAATTAACATCTTTGTCTGGCAATGATAAATGCTCTACTGACATCTTCAAATGACAAAAGTGAATAATGTCAATAATTAAGAATCTATAAGAACACGATTTTGAACTTAGCCTTTGTTTTAAAATTAACACCTAAGGCTAAGGAATTGTCTTAGACAGGTAGAGAAAAACAAAAGAAAATGATTATTCTCTTTGATTCTATGGTTTAAGAGACGTGACCTACATCCATAACATTTTTATTGAATAAAGTTAAAAACTATCACAATTTTTCTATTATCACCAATAACAGTTACGTCAATTAGTTTTATGAAACGTATAATTCTTAAGTTCACTATCACTGAAATGCTTTTAAGAAAGAAATTGAAGTTATGTATACCCGTAAACAGATTTGCGTTGAGGGTTGTGTTGTATTGTTTTGGTTTTCTTTTTGATATCTGATATCTATTATAGTTGGAATTCGGGCGTTTCTTTTGTCGGTGTATTTATACCAGATATAACATTGGCGAAATTCTTGTTTACTAAGAGATTTCATATAAACTGTTGGAGATGAATTCAATCAAATTCAAAAGCTGATAATCAGAAACAAAAACCAACAGATCTCGAAATAGGAATTCGTACAGATCATGGACGTGACGTTGAAAAATGATATGATAAAAGTTAATATTCACTGAAGAAAAGTTTTCCACATTGAGAATAGAAGATAAGAAATATTTAGTTTGAATCGCTATTAAGATACCAGTACGCATACAATTAAATCGATTTCTGCAGGCCAGTGGTTTATCTCTTTAAACCGTCTTTATTACCCCATCCGTTGCCGAAATGTGGGAGTTAAACCCCCATTTGATTTTATATAATTGGCTTCAGCGATGATTCAAATTTTTAGACCGTCTTTATTTCCCCAGTTGGTGCAAAACAGTGGGACGTTAAACCCCCATTTCATTTCATTCATCTCTTTAGAATTTTAGCGAACCCCATGTAATCTCACAGGCGGTGTTCTTTGGTTTCGTTTTCATGCGCCGCTCACATATGTGTCATTTGAAAGTGTGTCAAATCGTTCGGATGGATTAGAAATGTAAGGAGGTCTTTGCAGCGGGAATTCCAAGAGAAGTAGGAAGAAATGCTAATTTCCAGACATAATTGTTCTTCCAATCATCGCCGCAAAACTATAAAAAGAATTTTGTATTTTAGTCTCGACTCGATGTTCTGTTAAGGTCGTGCTAGCTCTGTGATTGTCCTTTTCCCTTTTTCATGAAATTGGTACTGCGTTTGTTATTGTTATGAGCGAAAAATATAATTTGGCCAATGACAAGGTCGTTTTCTTAAAACTTATAAATTTATGTCTTAGTGGATAGACAACTGGTTATCAACTGATTATTTTGGGTATTTGAATTATGATAATATTATGTTATGGGCAATAACCTGTATCTAGGGTTATTTTGAACATTATATTTGGGTAATTACCTGTATCTGATTTATTTTCAATATAATACAACATTTTGGGTAAAAAGCTATGTTAAGTTTGAATATTGTTTATATTTTAGGGTAATTGGTTTTATTTTATGATCAGTAGTGGAATACGGCGTTTTATCAGTGAAATAAAAGTGTTATTCCACTGGCTAGTAGTAGTCCATGTTATTTTTACCTAAAATGATTGTACAATCATAAAATAAATAGAACATTTGTCGTTTTGTCGTGAATAACATATTTTATTTCATCTCTAAGCAAGAAAACGTTTATATTTTCACGAATGCGTAGCATTCGTGAAAATATAAGTTTTCTTGCTTCTCGATGAAATAAAATATGTTATTCACTCTAAAACGACAAATATCCTCTATATATATGGGGTTATTCTGAATCTCAGGTTATATTTTCTTTTTTAAAGTAGCAAGGCCTCTTTAATATACTCGCAATCTGAATTCGATCAGTGTCGGTTAATCATCTTACATATTTTTACAGATTAATTTCGTCTTTTTTCTGGATATACTACGTGTTTTATGTACACGTGTTCGTACTAATCAAAGGCATGTGGGTAGAACCCAGTACAGGTGAGTTTCGCTATAAGTGTTAAATAAAAGCTTAATGTTTTCACAATAATCTCTCCAGAACGCGTCTCCTTGGTTTCTCGAATGTATTCAGTTGTAAATACCCTAAGGCAGTATTGCACAGTTTATAAAAAGCCAAACCTGCAAACTGTACTGCAATGGCGCGTGTTCTTGAACATTAATTCTGGACTTTTATACAACGCTTCATCAACTCGATTTCAAGCCCCAGTCACACCTTCCGGTACCGTGGACAACATAGGGATCTGTGGCTAGACCACGGTGAAACTGCAGTTGTCCGGGAAGAACAATGTTACTACTTTAACCAAGGTATTAGCCGTATTAGCGCCGGTGGCTCCCGTGGCAAACCGTACTTACACTGTATTCGAACCGTGGACTACTGCTTTCCCGACAAAATGGAAGGTGTGGCCTAGGCTTTAAATTGACGTATACGGGAAATAAATTATTTAAACATTATTGATTGATAACCTGTTTTTAACGTAAAATCTAAGGTGTGTCCCGATGTTAAATTGTGATTTACAGAAAGAATGTGTAGAAAACAAATGTTTTAACATTTACTGTTTCCAGTACAACAAATTTATCTCAGTTCTTTCTGCCTTTAACTTGTCTTCTTTTTTTTTTGAAAAAAAACCACACCCAAATCTGTCATTAATTCTGTTATTTTTATTGTATGTGTGCTGTAAATCAATCTAACTTAACGTTTTGTTCCTGTTGAAAAACTATACTTATTTTATAAATATCACTGAAGCTCAGTGGATAAGACGCTGACTAGCTAGTCTGGAAGTCTCAGGTTACTCTGGATTTCCCAGCGTGGTTTCCCCTTGACAGTTAGAATTCGATATAAGAGTAGGCTGTAGTGCCGCTTTCCGGGAAAAGCTTCCCGCAGAGAACACTGCATGGCGTACGTCTGCCTTCATAAGGTCTCAGACTAGTAATTATTTGCCCATTGACTTCAATGTTAAAGGGCTGTAACATCACAGGCTGTAGCTTTTTGCTCAACATACAGTTGTTTCCAATCTTTATAGGCACAATGGGGACCACATTTGGCAATATCCTCATCATAATTTTGTAGGGGGTTGACCGTTTAGAATTTTTGCTACGGGGATTTGATGTTGACTGGGGTGGAAATCTCACTTCCGACACAATGATTGCTCTGCAGAAAGACACTTTACACCCCCTATCCCTCCGCTGTAATATCATCAGTATTACCCAAAACTGCCATGAAATTGCAAATTTGACCCCTTTTCTTCAATTCTAGACCAAAAAGTCAACCCAAAAATGCAGGAAGAGGGGAGAAAAAAATTAAGGAAAAAATTGTCTATTTATTACTTGCACTACATTCGTGAACAGTAAGACGTTAAATCCTATTTCATTTCACTCTCATTACAAGTCTAGTTTTGTGAACTGCAAGAAAAGACAACTCTGGTTGGGTAAATGGGCTGTGGGTAGTATTTAAGTATTCGTCATAAATAATATTATTTGGTATCTGAATCAATGAGGGTGTCTGTCACAGACAAATAGTTTTAATATTCGCTGAAGAGAAAGGGTCAGCGCGGGGACAGATGTTTAATATTTAATTCAAAATCTGCCAGGATCTTATCTAAAGAAACGGTATACACAAAGTCAGTTGGCCAAATTTTGATAGTTTTTATGATTACCGAACACAAGAACAGCCCATAAGAATTTTTCTGTCTAGATTAACACTTTTACGGAGATTAGACTTGGCGGTTATGAAAATCTGTTTGCCTTTCAGATATATTTAAGTTAAACTAAATGCAGTTTTTGTCTTTTTATCTTGAATTACATTTTGCTATATTTAGGTATTTCATAAAATAGGTGGAAGATAAACAAGGCTGTGTATTTGAATTAAGAAAATGACATAAAAAAATATGTAAAGTTTTTAATCTACGACTTATACTTTTAAAGATGCATTATGTAAGATTTAGATAAAGCGCTTGTCGTTGCTATAACTTGCTATAGTTCAAAACAAGATAATGAAAAATAAATATATTAAAAATTGCAGTCAGCGTACGTTTGACAAGCTATATCCGATTGTCAAGCACCACTGCCATGATAATAAACAAAGTGTCGATTGTCAAGTGTCATTGCCATGAAATTAAACGCGGTCTCGATTGTTTGACTGAATTTTCAATATAATATTCCCTTTTCCAAATCTTTTTTTGAAACTAATATAGCGAGATCTGTCAGATCTGTATTCAAATCTTTAAAAAAAACTGCATCTTTAATTGAACATAATAATAGCTGTGTGTTGAATCCAAACTAATGAACTAAATATAGATTTATGAGATTTGCAGGTTTTTGTAATAAACATCACAGTATCTTGCTTTAATTAAGTGGGAATAATAGGATTAGACGTTTCGCGTTTCCTTCTAATATAACATAGACCTACATTACATCCATATTTAATTAACACCAATCTAAACTTTAACAGTCAAATTCCAACATAATGATTAGAACCTGTGAAAATATTTTAATCATATCTTTGATTATGTTGCATTGGGGAGCCATTGTGGCTCAGTGGCTATGGTACCCGTTGGTTTCCACTAGTCCGTTGTGTACTGCACGGAGAATCGTCTAGTTTTCCCAACAGGAATAAAACCCGTGTAGTCGTTGGCGTGTACGTAAAAGAACCTATATCAATTTGAGTTCGATGAAAAGCAGGCGGAAACGCCGCTGTCCGACCAAAATACCCCATAAATCACTGCATGTCGTATCCCCATCCGTATCTCTCTGGTTGTTGCAGACAAGTGGAGCGTTCAACTTCATTGCATATCATTTCCTTATTACCGTTTTTCTAGCAAAGTCGTCGTGCGTCATCTACATTTTTCGGAAAATATCAAATTTTCTACTACTTCTTCCGCTCTAATTTGTACCCAAATTAATTATTTAACGGTTAATTAAAAACAAAAAAATAACAATTATCACCGGTTATACTCCCCCAGCTTGAATTCAACCGGATTAAAAATAGGGCCGTTAAATGATTTCAGCGAAAATCACTGGTGGCGCTGATTTGTGTTGACTTGTGCATTTCAAATGTTGACAGATTTTCCATTCATCATACTGAACGGAATTGGACCATTTTTGGACTCATATTCCTTTTAAAGATTTAACTTTAATAATACCAGAGATCAAATCTACTTACGCTCTTCTCTATTTCAGACGCTTGGCTAAATTTATCTTAGTTTTGATACCATTATTTGGAGTCATGCACATCGTCTTCTATGTTTCCTTTCCTACCGGTTTTGAAAATGAATTGGATATGACTCAATTATACATAGAAATGGCATATAATTCGTTCCAGGTGAGTAAATTTTGATATTTTGTGTGTTTTCTTGCAACTCCTAATTATTATCCATGATTAAAGTATTCGATAATTGGATTTTGTAATCCAAATTTAGTCAATTGTTTTGGCCTACCTCTTCGGATTGCCCACTAATGGAGTTAACCTTGGTAAAGAAGGTTCTAGAATCGTCGTATGTTCAGATCGTAGCAGAACTATGGATTAACCCCAGACTGGGAGTACTACACACGATTAACATTTGTGGGTACACGTATTGATAATCACTGGGATCACGATGATGTTGATTTTTGGTGTATAGGCAAATACATTTACCATTCTATCTTTTTACAGGGTTTCATCTTGGCTTTGTTGTTTTGTTTTTTGAATGAAGAGGTCCACGCAGAGCTGAAGAGGATGTGGTATCGACGTCAAAGTCGTCGAAGTGACAGCATAGTCTTGACTCGGTCATTTGGGCTTTCTTCGTGGAAGAAAACGTCGTATCACACCCAAAGAACTGCCGCTTGTGATAAAACAAACTCTTTGTTTAATGACGATCAGTGTAAGATTACCAATGACTTCAGAAATGATGACGTCATGACTAGACTCAAATCACGTGCAATGCACATCCTCAAAAAAGATACTCAGGTAGAAAATGGCGGCAACGTAACTCCGTGTAATGGCGCTGTGAGATCTGGAAATCACTTGGACCTTCCATCTTACGTGAATAAAAGTGACGACGACGACTCCATCTCCCCGGAATCTGTGTAAGAGTACCTCGACTATATCGTTTTTGAACAAGTATTAAGGATTATCAAAGGGATCACGGAATTTGAGTCGAAGATGTACATACTCAATGGCTTCTTACTTCTAAGAAGATCCCTTACTGATATAAGCTATTGGGTCAATGTTGCCTTAAGTACGAGGTGGATTTTAACGGGTAATATGTTATTGTTTTTTTTGGCCTTTAGCTTGGGACTAAGGAAAAGTAAAGAACTGTGATAATAAGGGATTTGTTGATATTTACGTGAACTAGTTTCTTATTAATGGAACAACCGAAAAGACCTTTAGATCGTGTGTTCATCGTCATCTACAGATTGACAAACGAGCAATCAGACGACTCGATGTATAAATATGACCAGGGTCATTGCGCCACGGATCTTTCAGTGAGGTGAACTTGTTTCTTATGAACATAGCAACTAAAATGATAGCTACACAGTGTTCATCGTCATCTACAGATGGAAAAACTAGCATAGAATACTGAGTAGATAAGTATGACCGGTGGTTATTATGCCACGGATCTTTCTGTTGACGTGTGCAATACGGAGACGTAATTAGAACAAGTTCTTTCTTATTTGAAAATTCACGTTTATTACATACAAAGTTCGGGTTACAACATTCACTTTACTGATTGTCTCATGGTATATGTTTCGCTTCTATGGATCTATGAAGTCATTAAATCTACACAATAAGTAAAGTATGTTAGATGAACATATCTACTTACTTGTTAAATATCGTGGACGGAAAATTAAACGTAGCGACCTATATAGGTAACTATATTATTATTACACGTAATGCAAATGATCAAATACATAAACATACAACCAAGACAAAATTAATTAAAATTGATAATTTCTGGATAAATTTGATACGTAATAGATTGGACTGTTGCTACGACCGAGGTTGT